AAGATTTACAGCTTCAGAAATCTTATTCAGGGTCATTAGGAGTAGGAACCAGCTCCACGGCACATAACACCAAACAACCAGCCATCCAATCTCTAATTTTCTTTTATACTTTTTGAGCCAATAATTTCATATTTAACCCATTCTAAGAAAATGAGTGGACAAGCTGTATCAATGTTCAAACTTTTGAATGTTTGAACTTTAATGTTCAAACTTTTTAATCTGATCACTTAAAACTGTAGTCAAATTTTTATTTATTTTGTTTATTCATTGAAGAGTTACTTCTAGTACTGATAAGTTGGGGGAAGAGTAAAACAAATAAGTGAAGCTAAAATTACATTACAGGATCAAAAAGAAATGATAAATTTGTTAATATCTTGTTTGAAAGAATATTAAATAATGTATTGTTTTTATTATTACTAAATTTTTAATATTGTTGTTGTTGTTAAATGCCATCGAGTCGGATTCCGACTCATAGCAACCCTGTATAGGTTTTCCAAGGAGCAGCTAGAACTTGAACCACAGGCCTCCCAGTTCAAAGTGGACTTTACAGTCCAGTGCATTAACCCACAGCACCACACCAAGACTCCGCCACTTAATTTTTAACATACTATTATACTAACTGGAAGGAGCTCTGAATCTGGCTGCTAAACTCAGGGTTAGCAGGTTGAAACTACCAGCTTTTCCGTGGGAGAAAGAGGCTTTCTGCTCCCGTAAAGATTTGCAGTCTCAGAAACCCTATGCAGAGTTGCTGTGAGTCTGGCACCGACTCCACTGCATGTAACTACTACCACCATACTAAGTGGAGGAGTCCTGGTGTGGCGCTCTGGGTTAATGTGCTGGACTACAAAGTCAGTTTGGACCACAAGGTCGGCAGTTCAAGCTCACCAGACACTCCTTGAAAAAACTCTACAGAGGGTTCTTATGAGTCGGAACTGACTCCACAAACTTAACAACAACTCAATGGAGTCCTGGTGTGACACTATGAGATAAACATTGCACTAGTAACCACTAGGTTGGCAGTCCAAACCCACCAGCCACTTGGAAACCCTATACAGGGCCATAGACTGATGCCACTTACAAACATCCTGGGGGTGGTAGTGCTGGTTATGTGCTGTGGAGTCGGTTCCCCTCCATACCGACCTTGTAAGGGATTTCCAAGATTGTAAATCTTTACGGAAGCAGAAAGCCTCATGTTTCTCCCATGGAGTAGCTAGTGGTTTCAAACTGCTGACCATGAAATTAGCAGCCCAATAAGTAACCACTACATTACCAGAGCTTCCTAACAATATGCTAAGTATATTTTTTTAAAAAAGAAAACAAAACTGCATGTGCAATACCGTTTTGATACACAGAGGGAGAAGGAAATCCATCTAAGCATGTTGTTGTTGTGAAGTGCCTTCAAGTCAGTTCAACTCATAGTGACTCTGTATAGGGTTTTGTAGGAGCAGCTGACCTTGTGGTTCAAACCAACTTGCATTCTAGTACAATAACTTGCAGCGTCACATCAGGACTCCTCTAAACATGTTAACAATAGTTTATTTCTAATGGTGGGATATGATTTCTTTTATTTTTATACTTTTATTTTCTCTCTGTCTCTTTTTCTTTTTTTTTGCTATTTTCCAAATTCTCTATGGTGGTGGTAGTGGTTATGTGCTGTGGAGTTGGTTCTGACTCCTAGTGACCCTGTATAGGGTTTTCAAGGTTATAAATCTTTTGGGGATCGGAAAGCCTCCTAGTGCTCATGTGTTGGTTATATACTAAAAAGAAAAGAAAAAGTAGAATTAAAAATTTAGATATAGGGGTTGGGAAAATAGTCCATTTATAATAGCAACAAAACCTGTAAAATAAAACTTAAGGAAACAAATTTGAAAACCTATGAACACACATGGGTCACTATGAGTTGGACTCAAGTGGACAACAGTAATAGGAACATTACAAGGACTATGCAAAAACAATGGACTAAACTAATAAGTGTGTGGAAGGGGACAAGTAGAAGTCCACAAAAGAGGGCTCCTGTTTTGTCAGGAATGAGGGACATGGATTAGCAGATGACTGAGGACTCTTGTTGGTGTTGTTGTAAGTGCTGTCAAGTCGGTTCTGAATCATAGTGACCCTGTACAACATTTCTGAGCAGCAGCTGGTACATTTGAACTGCTGATTTTGCTCAAACTGACCTTGTGGTCCAGTGCATTATCCTGCAGTGTCGCATCCATATTAAATCTACACCATTTATAAACCAGACATAGCTTTTCTGCTACAGCAGAGACACAAATCCAAATACCATTCTGGGAATACCTCAGATACTTTCCAAAAAACACAAATGACTCTGTTGAGAACATACTTTTCATTTTGAAGGGTATGTATTTGCTTCTTGAATTGATGAGTGGAAATCATAGACAAGACCATCTGTCAGAAACAAAGCAGAGAGTCTAACCTTTTGAAGTATCTTCATTACCTACCTAAAGAGCCAATTTTCATTTATTTTCAGGTGTTCTGGAGCTATTACTGGTAAAAATGTAATCACTAAGTGTCAGGGAGGCAGCTGCATCACCAAAGCCTGTAGACCAGACAAAGGAACAGGGATGTACGAAAAAGAGTGCGAATTCGTACCTAACAAACAGCAGACTGAGAAAGCTTCCATAATGTTTTCACAAAGTATTAATTCTGTAAGTATCTTATTCTTTTTGTATATTTGAGTTTGCCTAGACTCTTGTGAATTTATAAGATTTTCCCCCAGTGCTCTGACATTTTAGGGAACCTATAGTGGGCAGCTGACTGTGAAACAAGCTAAAATGGAGAAGTAGGGATAAAGTCTTATCTTCCTCTGACCCCTCCCCCTTAGGCCCATCTTCTATCTCCCTCTTGTCCCTCACACTTGCTTTTAGTATCAATACTTAGAACTATTTTGAGTATCCTTGAAGTCATACAAGTACAAAAATCCTTAGGTAAAAAGAAATTTATCAAAGGTTTAGGTATTTTTATTAAGACTATCAATAAGGACATTATCAATTTAATTTTCAGAGAGCTCTTTCCAGCTCACCTATTTGTTTTTGGTGTTAACTGAAATGTTCTGACTTTTTTAGAGTGTTGGTATCCTTAGGGAATTTATACATAGTTATAATAGCTTGAGGAGTTCTGGTGTGACACTGTGGGCTAATGTGTCAGACTGCAATGTCGTTTGAATTACAAGGTCGTTGGTTCAAGCTCACCAACTGCTCCTTGGAAACCCTACATAGGTCAGAATTGATTTGATGGCACTTCACAACAACAACATAATAGCTTGAGAGTTCTGGGGTGACACTGCCAGTTAACGCACTGGACTGCAATATTGTTTTGAACCACAAGGTCGTTGGTTCAAGCTCACCAACTGCTCCTCAGAAACCCTATACAGGATCGCTATGAGTCAGAATTGACTCAACAGCACCGAACAACAACAACATAACAGCTTTAAATCATTTTTTAAAATAGTTTATAAATGGTTTTGTTTATGACCAACTGGTCATAAAGTGAGTTTGACTTAATTATCCATATTAATACCAAATAAATGTATCTCAGCTAATTTGCACGAAATAAGATTAAAAATGTCTGTTAAATGACTTTAGTAGGGAGTTCCTCTGATCTTCCAGTTTCTTGACATAAAATTATGTTTACCTTTTGGAGCAGAGGGTGAAATAATTTGAAAAAGTTGCATCAATGTGATATGAATCGTCTTAGAGTTTGGTTTGGGAACGTCTGTTTAGAGATTACACAGAAGTTTTTCAAATTCCCTTCCTAAACAGTGGCCCATATTGATATATGAAAATGGTACCCAAATAAATGACCCGAAATGAACAAGTGTTTCATACTGATGATTTCCTTCAATATTTAGGGTTTAGAACCGTTAGTACATGGGATCTTAAATTGAATAATTAAAAATGATTTAACCTACCTTCTTTGTACATTGTTCCTCTTTTTACAATTCCCTATAAATTACTAAGGAAGAGAAAGTATCCAGCATTTATTGGCCATATTGCATATAATGTCATTTAAGTTTGCACAATAATTACCCATATTTTATAGATTAAAAAAAAACTACTGAGGTGAAGTCAGGTTAAGTTTTAACTGAAAAAGTATATTGAGCTTTTATGCTTTTATGTGTGTCAAACACTGGGCTAAGTTTTAAGGATATAAAATGTAATGGGAATGGTTTCTGCCATAGTTGGATTTATAGCTCAAAAAGTGTACTACAAGATTAAAAGGACCTTATCTGAGTCTCTATAGAGTACTGTGAGGACACAAAGGATTGATTGACAAACCTGGGGGGGAGGAGAAGAAAGGGGAAAAAAATATTTAACGCTTGTGATTTTCCCATTATTTCCCGTTGCCTTCATCATTTAGTGCTAAAGGAGGCCCCCTTGTTGTATATTGCCTTTCCCTTCACCCAAGTTAATGTGTCTACCCTTTAGCCAGTGATTCACCCTTTCTTCCCCTCCTACCCTTGGTAACATTCATAGAATGATTCTTCTGTGTGTAAACCTTTTCTTGACTTTTTACAGTAGTGGACTCAAACAATATTTATCCTTTTGTGATGGTCTAATTTCACTCAGCATAATGTCCTCTCTAAGTTCATCCATCTTATCCGGTATTTCTAAGATTTGGCATCATTCTTAACGTTTCAGAGCATTCTATTGTGTGCATGTACCAAATTTGTTTATACATATATCCACTGATAAGCACAGGTAATTCTCATCTTTTTGCTGTTGTGAATAATGCTGTGATGATCATGGGCATGCATAAAAAGTGCCTATGGAGCTGAAACAGGAAAGTAAATTTCACAACGAAGAAGGTAGAGAAAGAGGCATTTCTTGGCAATGTGGGGCTAGTGAGCAAAAATGCAGATATAAAACAGTCAGACAAATGTTGGAAATTTAGAGAGCTGGAATACACATTCAGAGTAAGGGTGAACAAGAAAGTAAAATTCAGATCTCAGAGGTTGATCTTGTCTATGTGAGAGAGTCTGGATTTTAGTGTGTGAGCAATCATTAGTCACCAAAGGGTGGTGAGAACAGGTATAAGATGGAAGGTCATTAAGAGGGAAACAAGATGGGTAACTGTAACCGACCAAGAGAGAAAGTATGAGAGCTTGAATGATGGAGATTCCATCAGAGATGGAGAAAGACGGTGGACTGGAAAAAGGGTGAAATTTATTGATCTTTGTTATTTTCCAGGGTAGTATTAGGGGACAGGATCTGGGTGAGTGTGTGGATTATAGGGACATTTATCAGGCAAGGAAATACATGAGGAGGAGAAACCGAGTTGAAGAAAAGTTGATGGGTTCAATTATGAACGCATGGAGTTTCAAGTGTCTGTGGGACATACAAATTTTATGAGAACTAGAATGTTGGGTGTTGAAGAGTGGACTATAGCAGTTTGGTAACTGAGTGGTAAGTGAGGAAGTGAAATTTGGTGGTGAAAGAATGGAAAAATAAAATGGTATCAAGAGAAGGATCCTAGGATGTGGGTGGCTTGAAGAGAATGGTTATGCCATTGAAGACTAACGGCCAATTCGAGTAATAGGAAAGAAGCCTCTTGGAGGTGGTAGATGGATTGCTGAGGTGCACTAAGGATCCAGTAAGCCGAGGACATGGTGCTGATTGGATCTCTGTGAATTATGACTCTCATTTTCCTCAGCAATGCTCTGCACTCTGAGTATGGATTCAGTCAAGGTTATAGATTAGAAGAGTAGACTAGGGAGAAGAACAAAGGGGTTAAAATATTTTAAATGTGAGTTTTAAATACCTTTAAATCAAGCTAATAAAGATTTTAGCTAGTGGTTTACTGTTATCTCTATCATTTTATTCACAATTACAGGTGGTCGAATTCTGTACAGAAAAAAATCACAACAAAGAAGCCCCAAACAAGCAAAATAAAAAATGTAATCTCCGGAGCACATGGGAAGTAATCAGTGATTCTGAGGATTTTAAGAAAACCACTCCTATGACTGCACAGCCTCCCAGTCCCACCTTCTCATTACTACAGATTGGACAACGAATTGTGTGTTTAGTACTTGATAAATCTGGAAGCATGGCGGTACGTTTTATGAGTCTCATTCTTCTGGACACTGCTTACAAATATGTTTGCAATATGATTATATATTCCAGGAGCTGGAATTGACTGGGAATAAACATATTCCCAAGGGTCAGAACATTTAACACTGCTATCAGAAATATTGCCATCTATTTTATTAAATAAACATTCAGCATCAACTGTTTCATTTGCTAATTAAATTAGCTTTTATTGTCTGAGTAAAGATTGAATGAATTACTGAAGCATTAATTTATTTATGCTGTGTTAGCAATTAGCATGAATACTCTATATAGGTCTATTGAACTATTAGGAGTTCCTGGGTGATACCAACCAAAATGTTGGTGATTCAGGTTCTGTGGCATCCAGAGGTACCACAGAAGAAAGACCTGGTATTCTACTTCTGAAAGTTCACAGCAATTGAAAGCCCTTTGAACAGTTCTACTCTGAAACACATGGGATTTTCATGTATTAGAATCAACTCATCAAAAAAAAATAATAATAAAATAATAATAGAATGATTACTAAGGTATTGTGCTAATGTGGTACTATAGGATCTGCACTGGAATGAGAACCACAAGGTCAGCAGTTCAATCCCACCAACAGTCCTGGGAACCCCTACACAGGGTCTCTATGAATTGGAACAGACTCAACGGCACTTAACAATTAAAAAAAAACATTTTGACTTTTGGAGCCCTGGTAGCATTGTAGGATAAGCACTGGACTGCCAACTACAAGGTTGACAGTTAAAATCTACTAGCTCCTTCATGGGAGAATGATAAGGCTTTCTGCTTTTGAAAAGATTTACAGCCTCAGAAACCCTATGGTGGTCATGGTTATGTGCCAGTTGAGACTAGTAGTGGCCCTGTATAGTATTTCTGAGGCTGTAAATCTTTACAGGAGCAGAAGGTCTCATCTTTCTCCTGCAGAGTGACTGGTAGATTTGAACTACTGATCTTGTGGTTAGCAGCCCAACTCATAATCCACTATGCTACCAGGGTTCCTTCAGAAACCCTACACAGGGTCATAATGAGTCAGAATTGACTCTGTGGCAGTGAGCTTAGTTTCATTTGAATTTGGCTTTATTTTTTGCTATTTATACAAAGGCTCTAAAATTCTACCCAAAGATGCTGCTAAATATAAAGTAGAAATATTTCTCCGAGTAGAAGAATATGTGTTATCAAGTAAGCTTGTTGTCCTTTATATTGAAATTATTTGTCGTTGTTGTTAAGTGCCAAGGAGCAGCTAATGAGTTTGAACCACCAACCTTGTGGTTTACTGAAATAACCACTTCCAAATTCCCTCTAACCTGCTTTGTTGTTAGTCTGCCCACCTAAAACCAATCTATTTTCCTTCCATGTATCCATTCAGTCTGGTGACCGCATAAATCGATTGAATCAAGCGGGCAAACTTTTCCTGCTGCAGACCATTGAGCAGGGGTCCTGGGTTGGGATGGTGACTTTTGACAGTGCTGCCTACGTAAGAAGTGAACTATTGCAAATACAGAGTAGCAGCGACAGAGATGTGCTCATCAAAAGCTTACCCACCACAGCTTCTGGAGGCACCTCCATCTGCTCCGGGCTTCGATCGGCATTTACCGTAAGATACTCCTCTGTTACAGTTTGTCAATGGTTACAATTTGTTTCTGTCTAATTAAAAAAAATATATTTAAAAAAATATATTAGTGAAAATAAATGTATCCTACAAGGACAGGGTGGTTGTTCAAATAATGCAAAGGTACAGGTCTTCAAAGCTTTTTAAACCAATTTGTTCATGGTTTTGTGCTTTTGCACATTTGTGCATTCAAGCTTTTCTGCATGCATGTCTGTATGCAAGGTATGAATAGTGCCCCTTCTATATGCCAGATACTATAATAAGCCTTAAGAATACTATGAGGGTCACATACATAAGATCTCTTCTGTCATAGAACTTAGAATCTTACTGGAGAAGACACCTTAATCCCAACTACATAAATAAATGTATACTCATAAACTCTAATGAGTGCTTATAAAGGAAAGGTACACAGGGATATGAGAGAGAGTGTTTTCTAGTGGCAAAATAAACTATGAGTTAGGGTTATACTTTGGCCAATTGGACACTCTAAAGTTCTACGTGTTAAACATCCTTTTGAGTAAGCAATTGGTTTATTTATTGAAGCAGGATGCCTCAGAACTACAGACTATGGTTGCATTGATTCCAGAGATCTCATCTGACCATCTGGCCATACCGCTCCTCACTTAGATTTCATCAATGTCTTCCCATTATCAAGAAAATTAAGAAAATATTCCCCCATATAATATTTAAGGTCTTCCATAATATAACTCTTACCTACTTTTCCAAAGTTAAATATGATGGATTCTTTACTAGGTAACCTAGATTAAGCAAATTAAGACAGCACCACGCCAGGACTCCAGATAGGTATCAATTTCAATAAAATAAAAATAGAAATATATATGTCGTTGTTGTTGTTAGGTGCTGTGTACCCTGTGTACGGTTTCTGAGAAGCAGCTGGTATGGCACTGTAGGATTAGTACTGGTTTTGAACCACAAGATAGGCAGTTAAAATCTACCAGTTGCACCTCAGAAACCCTATACAGGGTCGTTGAGTTGATATTGACTTTAATGGCACATAAAAAAACAATTATATATGCATATATGTCTTGTGGGATAAGCTGTAGGATAAGCTTGAGACTGTTAACCACAAGGTCGGTGGTTCAAAGCCACCAATCATTCCTCTGAAACCCTATATGAGTCACTGTGAGTCAGAACTGACTCAAAGGCACTAAACAACAACAACAATGTCATGTCTTCTAATATCTTCTGTTTTATATTCCAATTGTGGATCTACATGTTTCACAAACTTCACTTGTGCAAAGCTCTGTTAGGCTTAAAGACTTATCATTTACCTCCCATTCCCTAACATAATATCTTTTATATTGGAGGTTCTCAATAAACTGAATGTACTTATTTTATGTAGTAACAACACTTGTTGTTTAATCATTCCAAACACAGAATACAGTCAGAAAGTCTCACGGAAAGAGAACAGGCAGCTAAAGAAAGTTGACTGGCTTAATGTCTCAGATCTTTCACTGTGTCTTGGGCACTGCTGTCCACTCTGCCTACTTGTGCGCACTGCACATGTCAATGGGGCATTCCACGTTCCCAGTGGGAAGAGTTAGTTTTCAGATCATGCTGTTTGATGTGGATTCAACTATTTCCTCACATTCTGTCTGTCCCTCTGGCTCTTGTATTCTACTTTAAAGGTCAGTTCCCTAAAGGCAATTTCTATTTCATATACAACCCCTTCCCCAGATGTCTCTGTGCATCTGCTTCTATGGCCTAAGCCACCCACTCAAGCTCTGATTAGAGAAACAAATGAGAGAGAAAAACTGACAAAGAACTCACCGGTGTGTTCTACTAAGGTCCTGCTATGCCAAGTCCTTAGAGACATGAGTAACATGTGAAGGGGCAGTGGTAGAGAGAGAACCCCTGCTCTGCATCCTTTCCATGAGAAAGGATGTGAGGGATGCCCTCAGGATTTAGAAAGCTCCTCCTCTCCAGTGAAGTCTGGATTTAGGGTCAGAGGACTTCAGAATAATGAGGTAAAGGGCCTTGTGTCCCACACTGTCCTCAAGATCCTCCCTAGTAGCTGCTGCAGTACCCTCATCAGATCTATCTGGTACTCCTTGCAGTGATGTCTGCTGAGGTGTGGCCACTAGACTCTGGCTTGGTCTCTTGGCTTGATCAGGGCCCTTCTAATGTTGTCAGTGTTGGAACAGCCCCAAGTTCCACCTCATTCTCCATCCAGCTCCCAGCTTGACTATACACCCCTCAGACTCCATGGCAGCAATCTCTCACCTGCTAGCTCTCAATTCCACTGCAGTCTGTTTTCCTTAGGTAATATGTCAGAACTTCTGGATATTTTCCATGAGAATGATAGAGAGTTGTTGTTGTTAGGTGCCATTGTGTCCATTCCGACCCATAGTGAACATACACACAACAGAATGAAACCATCCTCACAGTTGTTACATTTGAGTCTGGTGCTTCTGCTACTGTGTCAAGCCATCTCATTGGTGGGGGCATCCTCTTCTTGGCTAACTCTCTACTTTGCCAGGCATAATGTACCTCTCCAGAGACTGGCTCTGCTGATAACATCTCTGAAGTATGAGAAACGAAGTCTCACCATCCTGGCTTCTATGGAACACTCTGAGTGCACCCCCAACACAGACCTGTTTGTTCATCTGGCAATCTATGGCACCTTCAATATTCTTCTCCAACACCACAATTCAAATGCAACAATTCTTCTCTGGTCTTCCTTAATCATTGTCCAACTTACACACGCATATGAGGTTATTAAAAATACCATGACTTGGGTCAGTCGCATCTTAGTCCTCAAACTGATCTCTTTGCTCTTGACTGCTTTAAAGAGGTCTTGTGAAGAAAATTTGCCTAATGCAATATGTCATTTGACACTTTGGCAGCTGTTTGCATGAGTGTTCTTTGTGGACCCAAACAAAATGAAGTCTATGACAACTTCAATCTTTTCTCCATTTGTTGTTGTTAACTGCTGTCAAATAGTTCCAACTCATAGGGACCCTGTATAGGTTTTCCTAGTAAAAGCTGGTGGGTTTGAACTGCGGACCTTATGGTTGGAAGTCCAGTGCTGATCCTGTAACACCATACCAGGAGTTCTTTATCCATTTATCATAATGTTATTAATTAGTCCAGTTGTTAGAATTTTTGCTTTCTTTACATTGAGATGCAATCCATATTGAAGGCTGTAGTCTTTGATATTCTTCAGTATTTTAAGTTTGCTTTGTTTGAATCAGTAAGAAAGGTTGTATATCATCTGCATATCATAGGCTATTAATGAGTATTCCAATCTTGATGCCACATGGTGAAGAGTTCTTAAGTGCCATTGAGTCAGTTCTGATTTGGATAAGGAAACCCAAATTGGACTCTTTTCCTGACTTCTCAGGTCCTGCAGCTTGGTCAGACAAGGCCAGTGTCACCACTGACAGATTCTTGTGATCCTTTATACAACAGGATTAACAGATCTGCTCTTTTCCCACATCACCAAAGGCCATCCGTGCAGTAGCCTCCTCTTAGAGTTCAAACAGGTAGTAAGGCAAGAGAATTCCTCTCAATCCTTTTAACACACTTTTTCTTTCTGAGATTGTGGTCCAGAGAAGGGAGGTTGTATATCCTTGATTGATTGTTTCCCCTCCCCCTATATCTATCCTTTCAATTCTTTCTTGGAGGCTAGAAGGAATGGAATTCATCTTCCTCTTCTTCAATAGATAATACTATTCATTTCTTGAATTCTCCTCTAAAGTTGTTGTGGTTAGGTGCCATAGAGTTGGTACTGACTCACAGCGACCCAATGTACAACAGAGCAAAACACTGCCCAATCCTGGGCCAACCTCACAATTGTTGCCACGGTTGAGCCCATTGATGCTGCCACTTTGCTAATCCACCTCACTAGGGGTCTTCCTCTTTTTCTCTGACCCTCTACCTTACCAAACATGATATCCTTCTCCAGAAACTGTTCCCTCCTGACAATATGTCCAAAGTATGAGAGACGAAGTTTGGCCATCCTGGCCTCCAAGGAGCACTCTGGCTGCACTTCTTCCAACACAGACCTGTTGGTTCTTTTGGCAGACTATGGCACTTTCAATATTCTTCTCCAAAACCATAACTCAAAAGCATCAATTCTTCTATGGTCTTCCTTATTCACTGTCCAGCTCTCACCTGCATATGAGGTTATTGAAAGTACCATGGCTTGGATCAGGTGCACCTGAGTCTTCAAGCTGACGTAGCTGTAATATTATTCAACATGGGCAGAAGGAGTATCCTCTTTTCATTATATGTTATAGGGATGTTGTTGTTGTTATATGCCGTGGAGTAGGGTTTCTGAGGCTGTAAATCTTTACGAGAGCAGAAAGCCTCATCTTTCTCATGCAGAACAGCTGGTAGTTTCAAACTGCTGACCCTGAGGTTCGCAGCCCGACTCGTAACCACTACACAACCAGAGCTCCTGGTTATAGGGATATTATAACAGAAATACCAAAAGTGGACACCTTTAATAAAGAGAAATGTATTCTCTCTCACATTATAGGAAGTTAGAAGTTCAAATTCAGAGCTGTGACTCTAAAGGCAGACTTTCTTCCTTTGTCACCTCTGGAGAAAGGTCCATGTCTTTTTCAGCATCTGTAGGTCCAGAATTTCTTGGAAATCTCCATGCATCTTATCATCACTCTTCCAGAGACTTTATGAGCATCCTAGTGCAGAGATCCCAGGCCCAAAGGGTGCACTCCACTCCAGGCTCTTCTTTCTCAGTGGTAGTAGGTCCCTATCATTTCTGCTTGCTTTTTTCATCAAAGAGATTGACTCAAGATACAACCTAATCCTGTAGATGGCATCCATTCTCGTTAACAACATAAGGAGAGTGAGAGGCAAACCACTTCTGAAAGGTTAGCCACTGAGGACCTTATGAATAGCAGCAGAACGTTAGCATCAAAATTATTTACAACACGTAAGATAATTACATCAGATCAGGGCTGATCACATCAGATCACATCATGGTGGGGGAAAGTAATTACATCATTACATAACTGTCATAGTATATCATTACATAACTGCAAAACTACTGAGAATCATAGCCCAGCCAAGTTTTGGGAGGACACAATTCATTCTATGACACCATGAAAAATGATAACGAGTCAACCAAGAATAACTCAGATAAAGATGTCATAGGATAACTAAGAACTAAGGATTAATAGGAACAAATATGTGTTGCTTTAATCAGAAGGATACTGAAATTTTTAACAACTTATGTGACATAAGCACTGACTAGTCAGCATCAATGCAAGCCATAAACAACTAGACTGCTCATACTAGTGTATATCATACAAAGTAAAATCTGCTCTGGATCTTCTAATATTATTCCCATTAAATAAGAATGGCTTATATAGGCATCTGAGAACCTCTGAAAGCCTGACAAGGAGAGATCCATGAAGAAAACCAGAAACTCCTTCTGTGGTGCTTCCTCCATGCTGTCCATCCCTAGAACTGTCCTGCATCCCACTTTATAGAGCTCTGTCTTCATCAGGAGAGCAAAAGAAAGCTCATTGTCAAGTTCCATGAATGCTGCTGACTTTAAATTGTATTATCTCAAGACATGGAAGTTATGTTTCCTGGAACTTTTGTTTATTCTTCTAGGTATTTCTTTTGATTCATAAACACATTGATCACCCTTAATCTGATAAATCACACTTAAATTATGTCCTTAGGTGATTAGAAGAAAATATCCAACAGATGGATCTGAAATAGTGCTGCTGACTGATGGGGAGGACAATACTATAAGTGGGTGCTTTAACGAGGTGAGACAAAGTGGAGCCATCATTCACACAGTTGCCCTGGGACCCTCTGCAGCCAAAGAACTAGAGGAGCTGTCCAAAATGACAGGTAATGGATAATCTACTGAATCCCACTGGATTGTAAGTGGCGGGGGGAGGATGAGGTTGGGAAGAGGTGAAGATGATCTGATTGACAACCAGCTGTCTCTAACCCAAGTGGCCATCAGAAGTGACTCTGCCCTTTTTTAAGGCCTTAGTTTTCGGAATCAGGGAGTCTGGAGGAGATGGGACCAGCAGAGCAGCCTAAGGAAGACTCAGACTCTTTTCCCAGGCACTTTATAAGGACTTGGGGGAATCTAATAAGTTAACCAAGAACTACTCACTTCCAGTTGGCAGCCGACTAAGAGACCCATGGGAGATAGATGACAAACCACTAACTAAATAACATGAAGATACAAGTGAAATATTAGCAGTAAAAAATATAGTGAGCCAAGAAAAAGGGAGTCTTTAGCATTACCTGGGGAGGGAGAACAATACAGAAAGATGACATACAAATGGGACCTTTAAGGAGGAGTAGCAGGGAAAGGACCAAGATCATAGAGAACAATGCTATGTGACTAGAGCATAGGATGGGGTGAGCAAAGATGGGAGAGTGAGGTAGGTAGGAAGTGGCAGAAAATCACCCTGAAAATGTAAAATATAGTGCAGTTTCTCCTACAAACACTTATTTACTGTGCTTCTAGATCTCATACATAGACATATGGTTAAATAGACTCCATATCAATTATTATGCTGAACTGCCATCTGAGGCAGTTGAAATGACAGACTGTTTGCTCCTAACACTACCTGTGTTGGCCAGGTGTCCTAGCAGGAAGTTTGAAAGAGGGATTCACAGGGCACGTGATTCACAGAAAGGGGGGGCAGGGCGGGGAAGCAGGCTAGCACAGGGAGCTGAGCTTGGATGTGAGCTTAGGGTCTCACTGAAGTCTGACACCACAAGGGGCTCTGGGTCTGGAATTAGATCACTGACTCAAAGACTTTGGCTCCATTTTGAAGCAATAAGACTGGCCTTGTGAGATCTTGTGTCCATCAGTGAGGGGACGTGTCCTCTTCCTTGTGATAAATTATCTGAAAAAGGAAGCAGCTGTATGTCATTAATAGCCAATAGTTATACTAGCTGGGGATAGACACAGCTGTCCAATTAGAGGATCTGTGTGGACATTAACAGCATTATCCGACCTCTTCCCTTCCTTTGATTGGCTTTTCATAGTTTAAAGGTGTTTTCACAACACATATGTTAGGTCCACCTATTCTAAAAGGACCCAGACTGCTAGGTGTCTTATAATTCTATAATTACTGTATATTGTATTTTTATATAACAGTATCTTTGTTTACTGTTGTTTCACATATCTGTCTTTAACAGCTCTCGCTCCTTCCAATTTGCTGCTTCTGATTTGAGGGAAAACCAAAATATCAGTCTTGTTAGAAATATGTCTCAAATAAAACAATATCAATAGACTTGGAATCAAGTTTAACAGATTTTTCATATGAAAGTGGATGACATTTTAAAACATGATTTTAAGATATTAATTTTTACAATATTAATTTAGGCTTGTCACCATTCATAGCTACTTTGCAAATAATCAAAGTCACCAGAAAACTGAGCTGTTTCTGTGGCTATTATATTTATTTTAAGGTTTAGATATTTGCATCAACTTCTGAGTTAATCTGGTACCTATTTGAACTGTATTTATTAATACTTTCTTAATGCAATGGAATGTTTACTTTCTATGAAGTTATCTTGACAATAGCTAAGATTTGGGAAAAACTTGCTTTCTAGAAATTAACTTCTGGTAATGTAATTCATTGCATTTTAGGAGGCTTACAGACATATGCTTCAGATCAAATTCAGAACAATGGCCTCATTGATGCTTTTGGAGCCCTTTCGTCAGGGAACGGAGCTCTCTCCCAGCGCTCCATCCAGGTCTGAGTTCTTACTCTTTGTTTTTTCATGTTTATACAGAACCATAGACAAGATGGAGAATTTAATGGTCAGAAGTCTTAAGTTCTACTCTCTTCTTTTGTTGTTGTTGTTGTTACGTGCCATTAAGTAGGTTCCAATTCATAATGAATTGGGTTGTATATATAGGGTCGCCAAGGAGTGGCTGGTGATTCAAACCACCAACCTTGTGATTCAAACTGACCTTGCAGTCCAGTGCTTTAGCCCACAGTGGATAAAATTCTTAAAATTCAACACTAATCACTTAAAGGAAATTAGTATGTACTTGTGTGAAAATAATACCTAAGTGATTTCCTCATGCAAATCAGTAACATAAAATATTGTGACCCCAAGAATTATTGTTCAACATCTGTTAACAAGCACCCACAGTAATATAATTGACTCAGGGTTTTCTTCAGAATAGATCATCTCAATTACAAATTTTCTAGGACATGTGTTCAGAGAATACTTGCTCTATTTTTCCATTACCTCAAACTCCGGATATTGGCCAAGATTTTCATATAATGGACTGAAAGTGCTTTGTATTATGCACAGCTTATGTGTAAATCCAAACATCTGGATCTTAGTCCTGACTTTGCCATAACTTTCTGACCTTGGGCAAAGCATATAACCTCTTTGGGCCTCAGTTTCTCAGCCAGGTATGAAACAGAAAACCTCCTTCCTTCTGGTTTTAAATTTCAAGAAAATCAAACTGTCTTTAAAATATTTGGGATTATTTTTGAAAAGACAAATTTATTTTCAAATGCTCTCTTATAGCTCCTTTAGCTGCAGAAATTATTCACATAAATTTTTAAACTACAGCACGTGAACAACCAGCGCTTATACCTATGTGAGTTATAGATTTTATTATAGCTTTGAATAATCATAAAGGAAAATTGTTATATGAAAGCCTAATAATGACATGGCGTCCTGGTGTGGCACTGTAGGATAAGCACTGGACTTCAAGGTAGGTTTGAACTCCAAGGTTGGTGGTTCAAATCCACCAGCTGCTCCTTGGAAACCCTATACAGGGTTACTATGCGTTGGAACCGACTCGACGGCACTATTCAACAATAATGACATATTTCAAAGCAATAGACTTTCTGGTCTAGTGATGCAACGTCTATTCATTCTAGGAAGGTAGAAATTATATTAATCTAAGCTATCCTAGTTCAGATTTAGAAAATTAAATACAAGGGCCTGTTTTGAAGATGGAAAGACTTTGCCTTAGGAAACTAATCAAATTGATGAGAGCACATGTTTATGAACAGACACTTCCTGCCCATTACTTTCATACTTAAGAATTCTAATAGAGAGAGAGCCAGGGAAAGGATCAGGACTCAAATACTGACCTGCCACAAGCACTCAGATCTAAAAACCATTGGCTTTCTCTGTATGTAAGGTCTTTATGAGAAAGTATGGCTTCTTGACCAGTCTATCCTATCTCCTAATAGGTAGCAATTTAAGGATAATGCATGCTTATCAAGGAGATAATCCCCAAAGTAAGAGTTCTACAAAAGCCTTGTTAGTCTTTCAATTCATTCCAGGCTCTTTAGCAGCTTCATTCTGCCCCACCCAACAAATCAGCCTTGTCCAATGATGTATTTCTCTTCACAGGACTACAGGAATACTTGACTTGGCAATACCCCAAAACTAAAAACCAAAACCACTGCTATTAAGTTGATTCCAACTCATAGTGACCCAGTATAGGGTTTCCAAGGCTGTAAATCTTGATGGAGCCAAATGACTCATCTTTCTTACACTGACCTGGCAATGCTGTTGTTGTTAGGTGGGGTAGAATGTTGTTGTTTAATATTGTTAAATCAGTTCTGATTCATAGTGACCCTGCATAGGGTTTCTGAGGAGCAACTGGTGGATTTGAACTGTCAACCTTGTGGTTAGGAGTCAAGTGCTTATCCTACAGCGCTGTACCAGGAGTCCTGGAACAGTTTTGTCTGTAACTCAAACAAATGGTATGTGGGGTAAAATAAGTCCCAGCTAGAGTCTCTTTAAAAAGGAGCCCTTGTAGTGTAGTGGGTTACACATTGTATTGCTAACCACAAGGTCAGCAGTTCAAGTCTACCAGTTACTCTGCAGAAGAAAGATGAGGCTTTCTGCTCCAGTAAAGATTTACTGGAAACCTTGGAAACCCTATACAGGGTCACTGTGAGTTGGAATCGACTTCACAGCACACCACCAGTCTTTTTAAAAGGTGCCCTAGTGGTGTAGTCGATTATGGGTTGGCTTGCTACCTACAAGATAGGTGGTTGAAACTCACCAGCCACTCTGCAGTAGAAAGATGAGGCAGTCTGCTCCCATAAAGATTCAAACTTGGAAACACTATGCAGTAGTTCTACTCTGTCATATAAGACTGCTATGAGTTGGAACCGACATGATAGGAATGGGTTTGATTTGGGGGTTTAGTCTCTTTAAGATTTTATACTCTAGTAAATAAAATAAGCTGTGTATATAAATAGGCATAATGTGATGGATGTTTAAGGACTGATTTGTATCAGTCTTTGGGAGTTCACAAGGAGAGATCTTTTAGTCATTAGTGAGTTGGTCATCAGAAAAAGTTTTAGAGAGAGAGTGGCATTTGAACTGAATGTTGCAGGATGGGTGCAATTTATACAAATGAAAGAGACATAAAGACTTCCAGGGGAAACAAAGAATGACAAAGGCTTAGACTCAGGATTTTATGAGAATCATTTGGGGAAATGGTCTGGTTTGGGTGTAAGAATGAAAATTGTTCAAGTTACAGCTGGAATTATAATTTAGAACTCAATCATTAAACATTCTCAGTGCCATGACTAGGAATTAGGCATCACTGAAGACACTGGGTCTCAGGGCAGAATGAAAGAGACTATGCAATGGAAACTTTACTGTCCAGAAAGTAAGTACTCGTCTTCTTAACAGCTTGAGAGTAAAGGATTGACCCTCCAGAACACTCAGTGGATGAATGGCACAGTGATTGTGGATAGCACCGTGGGAAATGACACTTTATTTCTCATCACCTGGACGACACAATCTCCTGAAATTCTTCTTTTGGATCCCAGTGGAAAGAAACAAGATGGCTTTTTAGTGGATGCGCAATCCAAAATGGCTTACCTCCAAATCCCAGGCACTGCTAAGGTTTGAAATTAGCCTCCTTTCCTTCCGATAATTTGAAAAGATCAAATAAAGTTTTTGCAGAATTATTGTCGCTTTTAAACTGTTGCTGGTTACTAGGAGGAGAGATAGTACTCAACAAAGAAAGGAAAAGGAAACTTCTCAATCCCACAGAAATCATTCAGTATGACAGCAAATCAAGAGAAAGGAAATTGGTGATATTCAAATTTCAGAGCAATTAAGGATGCAAAATGATTCTTGAAGCTTTAGGGTCATTCAGACTATTTCTTCTACCTCAGGAATTTATCACTTTCATCCTACTCTTGAGAAACAAAGGATAAGATAAGGACTTCATTTTTCTAACTAGGGTTTTCTTGACATACAAACCACGTAGTAAGTCCTTTGACTGACAGAATATCAAAGATGTTCCATTTATCTAGGATATGCTTATAACATGCTTGCATCAGACAGGATTTTCTGTAGGTAACACTAAAGAATGATATTGCCATCCACAATTATTAACTGGAAATGTCTGCATTTGTTTTGGCCAGGTTGGCACTTGGAATTACAGTCTGAAAGCAAGCTCACAAACCCTGACTCTGACTGTCACCTCGCGTCCATCAAGTACTACCGTGCCTCCAATTACAGTGACCTCCAAAATGAACAAAGATACAGGCAAATTCCCCAACCCTATGGTAGTTTATGCAAATATTCGCCAAGGAGCCATGCCGATCCTCAGGGCCAGTGTCACAGCCTTGATTGAATCCGTGGATGGAAAAACAGTTAGCTTGGAATTATTGGACAATGGAGCAGGTAATCAACCCCTCAAATTGGAAAACACACCTTTCTTTGCCGAGAAGGAGCCAGGAAATCACAGGAGGGCAAGGAACATTGAGGACAGGCAGAAACAGGGAATCTAGCATTAGAGTTTGGGCTGGAAGAGTCTCAGCTTCCCCACAATTCATATATTTCAAAATTTGGACAGCATGAAGAAGTACATAGCTTTAGCTTCTTCAAAGCCCAAAATGTTTTAGAGACTCAAACCTTTTAGCTCAAAGACTCTGAAGAGTTTTCAAATATACTTTGCACCCCAAAAAAAAAAGAAAAGAAAGAAAGAAAGGAGGAAACTTAATAGTTCTCTCATACTACAAACTCTGTGTGTGTGTATTCATCTTATCTTCACCACACACTTTTAAGGTATTATTATCACTGCTTGGAGTCCTGGTGTGGCGTTGTGGGTTAATGCACCAGAATGCAAAGCCGTTTGAACTGCAAGGTCGGCGGTTCAAGCTCACCAGTTGCTCCTCGGAAACCCTGTATAGGATCGTTATGGGTTGGATCCAACTCGACGGCACTTAACAACAACATCACTGCTTAGTTGTTGTTAGGTGTTGAGTTGTTTCCAACTTACAGTGAACAGAATGTAACAGCGCTCTGTCTTGCAACTTCTTCACAATCTTTGTTGTTTGAGACCCTTGTTGCAACCATTGCATCAGCCCATCTTGTTGAAGGTCTGCTTCCTTTTCACTGACACTCTACTTTATCAGGAACTGGTCCCGCTTGTTAACATGTCCAAAGTACATGAGATGATATCTCACCATTGTCTCTGATAAGAAGCATTCTGGCTGTACTTCTTTCAGACATATTTTTTCCTTCTTCTGGCAGTCAATAGCATAGTCATTATTCGTCACCAACACCATAATTCAAGTGCATCAAGTCTTCTCCTTTCCTCCTTATTCATTGTCTTTCACAATGTATATGAGGCAACTGAAAATGCATATGAAATATGAGGCAACTGAAAAAACCATGGCTAGGGTCAGGCGCACCTTAGTCCTTGAATGTATCTTTGCTTTTTAACACTTTAGAGATTTGTCTATTGTAACTTGTTATTTGGTTTCTTGACTGCTGCTTCCATGGACTGCTGCTTCCATTGATTACAGAAACAAGTAAGATAAAATTATTGACAACTTCAGTATTTCCTCTGTTTATCATGATTTGCTTATTGGTCCGGTTGTGAGGATTTTTGCTTTCTGTATGTTGAGATGTAATCCATACTGAAGGTTGTATTCTTTGATCATCAGATCCAGAAATGGAGATTCACACATTTAGAAAGTAGCAGAAGTGAAATTCAAGTACAGTTCCTATAACCATGAAGACTCTGTATTAGCTTGCTTCCAAAGTAACAATCTGATCCATTCTTTTTTAACTCAAGAACTCTAATTGGGAGAGAGAGATAATTATACATTTCCTGTTAAAAGAAACTTAACTGCTTGCTGTAACACAAAGGATCATTTTAGAACAAATTCTGTAAACTAATTTCCCACCTAAATCTACAGTGGGAGAAGTCATGAGTTTTATTAAATAACCATGTCACAATTTTTTTCTTCCAAGTAACATGCAGTAATTGTATTTAATTCAACAAATATTTATTGAGCAAATTATTGTGCCTAGTCCTATGCTGAATATGACAGAGGCCCAAGACACGATCTCTGATTTCAAAGAGAAAAGACAATTCTTTAGGAAGAAGGGACATACACTTATGAAACTGTGCACATATCCAACACAGTGAACATCTAAAAGAAGATAGTAGGCATCATGCTTAATACAGTCAAACGCTAAACTCTTTTGGAAATAATGCTGTATTCCTCATTTTTGCTGTGAAAAATTTTAACCCACAGAAGGGTTGGAAATATACAAATGCTTATTTAACTTTCAGATATTTATTAATTCCTTAATTTCCCTCTCAAGGTGCTGATGCTACTAAGAATGATGGTGTTTATTCAAGGTATTTTACCGCTTATGATACCAATGGTAGATACAGTTTAAAAATACGGGCTCTGGGAGGAATAAATGCAGCCAGACAGATGGTGATACCCCAGCAGAGTGGTAGCATGTACATGCCCGGCTGGATTACAAATGGTAAGTAATCTGTAATATTAGACTTGGATTAATTAAAAGGCTTGGAATCAGCAGGAAATCATTAACCCTATAACTCTGAGCAGTGCAATGATTAGATCCGGGTGTCTCAACTCTTGACACTGCTGAGTCCCTGAAGCAGACACTTCTTTATTTAGGTAAAATGTTTAGCAGCACCCGTGGCCTCTTTTCACTCTGCCAATAGCAACCCATCAATCATGATCACCAAAATTGTGTCCAGATATTGTCAAACATGCTCTAGAAAGCTAAGTCATCCTCAGCTGAAAACCAATAGATTAAATGTCATTTTGGACTACCTTGATTCAAATCCCAGCCCTCCACCTAATTAAGCATTTTGGGCAGTCTTTTTGTGCTTTCCTTTCCTCAGTGGTAAAATAGGGATAATCGTAATAACTCTCTCATCAAACAGCCAGAAGGAATCAACAAGGAAACACATCCAATAAGCTCTTTCTGGGAAAAAGCAGATGCTTAATTAATGATCGTTATTATTTTAATGGAGTCTTAGTGCAGCGCTGCTGGCTAATGTGCTGGACAGCAAGGTCAGTTTGAATGGCAAGGTTGGCAGTTCAAACTCAACAGTCACTCCTCAGAAACCCCAGACAGGTTGCTATGAGTCAGAGTCAACTTGGCAATATTTAACAACAACAACAATTATTTTTAATAAAATGTAAAGCATTTTGTAATGAAGTTCTTTCCACTGATATTATTGGTTTTTTCATATAATCAAAACAGTACAATTTAGTGCTTACTGATCTACATCAGTATAATTATTAGAAGCCCCTGTCTCCGTTTCATTTTCTGTCCCCTTGTTTAGACCAGGGAGAGTAGTGTTGTTGTAGCTTTGTTGAGTTGCGTGGAGTCGGTTCTGACTCATAGTGACCCTGAACAGGGTTTCTGAGGCTGCAAATCTTTGCAGAAGCTGAAAGCCTCATTTTTCTCCCGCAGAACAGCTGGTAGTTTCGAACTGCCGATCTTGAGGTTAGCAGCCAGATTCGTAACCAGTTGTGCCATCAAACTGGTTGTGACTCATAACAACCCTATATAGGATTTCCGAGGAGCAACTGATGGGTTTGAACTGCCAATCTTGTGGTTCACAGTCCAGTACTGATCCTACAGCACCACACCAGGAGTCCAGGAAGAGTAGTAGATAAGCATACTATCAGCAATTACACAGACTCTACAGGTACAAGGGGGCTTCAAAAAGTTTGTGGAAATTTTATCTTTTAAATTCCATTGTCCAGGAACTTTCTGAAACCTCCTCATATGCAAAGAGGAAAATTATACTCTGTAAAACAGAGCATCATGCACCACTCTGTTTCAAACACTTGCCATGGACTAGAATGGAAATTGGGATCAAAACTACATTTTAATGTGTTCCATGACTGTTGATGTGTTCCATCAGTCTCTACTCGGTCCCTGGAAGGCCTTTTCTGGGTGCTGGAATGTAGTAAGAACAGTTCCTTCAGAAGCTCCTCACTTCTTCTTTACTTGGACATGTGTTCAGTATAGGGTAGGCTCTCCCAGATGTGATATCCCCTCAGACAAAGGTTATTCTGCTTTAAAAAAAAGATGTCATTGCTTCCAAAATCCTTTCATGTCCTTCAATTTATTTTCTTTTCATTCATGCTTTTCTTTGAGTTGGGAGAAGGAAAGGCTGATTTAGTGGCTGTGACTTGTAGGGTGCTCAGTGTTTTACTTACATGAGTCCCTTTCATACTCCTAAGTATCTCATTCTGCAGATGGAGAGACAGAAGCTAGAAAGGTTTGTATTCCATATAGCTAAGAGTGATAGCACCAGTTCAACAGCGAGAAGCCAAGTGCTTTTCTTCTTCCCTTGATGTGCTTTAGTACCAAGAGAGAGAATCTCTAGTGCTGAATGCTTGAATACTTGCCCTGAATCTGTCAAAGCACTCACTTCATCTTTGCACAAGACAAGGTTAATGAATAGAAAGATCAATCAGTCTTAACAGATGAAAATTTTGAGGACTAAAGAAGTAGCATTTATGAGAGAGTCGATTCTCAGAGATGGCATATTGGGTTATTATGAAATATTCTTATTGAAAAAGACAATCTCTAAACTCCACAGTTTAAGCCTGTTTTAAAATTCCAGGGCTACTTTTATGCAGCCTTTCAATAAGAAAGCGAAGGATTGGTATTTGTCTAACAACCAGGGAACTATGTATCCATAGAGAATATCAGGAGTCTTTCAAAAACAGATAATTGTGAAACTCCTATCATGAAACATAATATGATATATTTCCTATCATGAAATATGGTAAGAAATATAAAACACAAAGATGGAAAACTAGACATAGTTTTAAAAGTGATTTTGTAGAAGAGTAGGTATCTGGATAGGCAAAAAGATGGGGGGGGGGTGGGAATCTAGGACAAATGTCATTAAAGTAATTTCCAAAAGTTGATTCTGTTAAATATCCAGGGAATACATATGTTAGATGAAGAAAACTATGATTCTCTCTTCTTGTTGCCTTGATCCAACCTGATTTGAAGTCTTTTCATGAAAATGTTAAAATGATTATTTGTTGGGGAGGGGAGAAGGGGAAGGGGAGAGTAGGAAGAAGATATAGATGGCTAAGTATTGAGACAATTTTTAATGCAGGTGAAGTAAAATGGAATCCACCGAGACCTGAAACTAGTAAACATGATCTTCGAGGCAAGCAAGTGTGTTTCACTAGAACATCCTCTGGTGGTTCATTTGTGGCCTCCAATGTCCCAGTGGCTCCCATATCTGATGTTTTCCCACCATGTCAAATCACCGACCTGAAGGCAACAATCCAAGAGAACACATTTATTCATCTGACTTGGACGGCTCCTGGGGATGATTATGACCATGGAAGAGGTAAGCTGAATGTGGTGTGGGCCCAGCAAAGGACTTTCTCAGCCAAGGGTAGATTTAGAAGGGGCTGAGAGAAGCAGGCATGTGATCCATGAATAGGGCAAAAGGCAGGAAGGATTTTGAAAATCCTCTGAAGTGTACAGTAAAGATTTTAAAATAAGAGATATTTAGAGTCTAAAAAATTTTAGGAGTAAAAAGTTTTAGCCAGGAAACATTTTTTTTCTCAGTTTTTTCTGAAATTTTGTCAATCTGACTCCTGGTATGGCACTGTAGGATCAGCACTGGACTGCGAACCACAAGGTCGATAATTCAAACCCACCAGCTGCTCCTTGGAAACACTATACAGGGTCTCTAGGCATCGGTACATACTCAACGGCACTTAACAAAACCAACATATATTCAGTAACAGTTCAGGAGAAGGATTGGGATATCCTTTGGAAATAATCTCAGGTTCTACCAGACTTTTTCTGTTAAAAGGTGGGTCTCCAACTAGTAACATGGGCATCACCTGAACACTCATTAGAAATGCAGATTTTCAGACCTCATCCCTCATGTTCTGAGCCATACTCTGCATTTTATGATCCTTGGGTGATTTGTATTTACATTAAAGTTTGAGAGGTATCAGTACCAGAAATCCTTCTATAAATAATGGAATGATATTGTTGTTGTTGTTAAGTGCCGTAGAATCAATTCCAACCCATAGCAACCCTGTATAGGATTTCCTAGGAGCAACTAGTGAGCCTGAACCACTGACCTTGCAGTTTAAACTGACTTTGCAATCCAGTGCATTAATCCACAGTGCCACACTAAGACTCAATAAAATGATAAGCAGCTATTAAATTATCTCTTCTCTCAACCATGCAAAGGCATAGAAATGTTTATTGTGGCTTTTAGTCATGCATAGGCAGTTCAAATTCACCAGCCACTCCTTGGAAACCCTCAGAATTGACTCAACCGCACTTAACAACAACAACAAAGTCTACACATGTATCATTCTGTGAGGATGCAGGAATAAGAATGTAGAAGAGATGCTAACATTTAGAAATATGGACTATTGATTAAATGTATTCTTTGGAATCTTATGGGATGGGGATATCATTTCTAGCAAACTTACAAATGCCTTTAAGATATGAGAATTACATTCATGTTGTTTTTGTTTTTAGCTCACAAGTATATCATTCGAATAAATGAAGATATTCTTGAACTCAGAGACAAGTTTGATGATTCTCTTCAAGTGAACACTACTGATCTCATCCCAAAGGATGCCAACTTTGAAGAAATCTTTGTGTTTGAACCAAAAAACATTACTTTTGAGAATGGCACTGATCTCTTCATTGCAATTCAGGCTGTTGATGATGTCAGTCTGAAGTCAGAAATATCCAACATTGCACGAGTGTCTTTGTTTATTCCCCCACAGACTCCTACAGAGCCCCCTCAGCCTTCTGTCCCTTGTCCTGATATTAGCATCAATAGCACAATCCCTGGCGTCCATATTCTAAAAATTATGTGGAAGTGGATAGGAGAATTGCAGCTAGCAGTAGGCTTGAACTAAGTTCTCTGAGGTAAATAAATCATCTATCCTTCTTTTGATAGTACAATTTTTTAAAATGCACTTTAGACTTCATATAGGGGTTGACATAATGAAATGAAATTCTAGACATCAGGTTATATGTGTGTAAAAATCATTCATATTCTGAAAGTTCAATCATCTCTCAATTTTTTAAGTAATAATTTTGAATACTAGAATAAAGGAGTACTTGCATCTCTAAACAGAAGTATGTATTAATTCATCTTAAAGAAGCTTTGCCAATTAAAAAGAGCATAGATCTGCAGTTAGCACAACATAAACCAAATCCAAACCCACTGCTGCCTGTCCAGTTAATTCCAACTCACAGCAGCGCTATAAGACAGAATAGAACCACCTCATTGAGTTTCCAAGGCTTTAATCTTAATGAAAGCAAACTGACACATCATTCTCCTATGGAGGGACCGGTGGGCTTGAATCATCAATCTTTGGATTAGCAGTGGACTGTTTTAACCACTGTACCACCAGGGTTCCCTAACCTCACATAGTTGCTAAAGATTGTTTGTATTAGCTTGATTTCTTTTGGTGAAAAATGCCAGAGATACCCAAGTCAAATTACTTACATATAAATGCAATGGTTTGATGGAGAGGCATTTTCACCAAGATCTGGTCAATGTCACTAGGTTTGGCCAAGGCTGATGGATTTAAGACAGTGAGTGCATTGTAGAAAGCAATACTAGCATGAAGGAAGCTTCCACAGTCATGGAATGTGTGCCGTGCACATGAAGGGTCTGTCATGCTTAAAACCACATTAGTGGGGGAGAAGAATTAGGAAAAGTAGGTTGGGCAAAGTGTGAAGAAAAGTGATTGAGATGGAAAAGGCATTATTTGTGTAAAGTTCTCTTATTGTTCCTTAAGTGTGTTTCCTTATTTAATGTAATTTAGTTTGTTTAACAAACATTTGTTAGCTGCTTTCCATACTCCAGGTCTGTGCTAGGTACTAAAGAGACAAAGATGAATAAAAGTTGATCTTTCTTTTGGTGGCAATAAAGAGCATGTGAGTTTTTTTTTAATCAGAAGATGGATATGATCCGAGCTGTACTTGGAAAAGGTACTGAGAAGATCCCAGGAAGAGCTATATCAGCAAAAGTGGGGGAAGCTGGAGACATGACAGATGGGAGAAGAAGAAAAGAGTAAAGAGATGCACATATAGGGTTACCCGTCTAGAATTCCTCACCAAGGACTAATTACAGATACCAGTGCCTCCAGAAAAAAGTATTTGTGTGAAAAGTGTTTCAGATTCTCAGTCCTTCAGCAAAGTGAGTTCAAAATGTGGGCAATTCTTTTTATAATAGAAAATAAAATACCTTAGAGGTTTTTTTTACATAGTCTTAGTATTTGTTTATTATTTATAGACCTTCTTCATTTCAAAATAAGATTTAAGGCAGTTGAAAGATTCATACAATAGTATGAATAGTAAAAAAATGAAGAAATAAAGATGAGTACCAATTTAATAAAAGCCAGAGGAAAGATCCACATATCAAATTGTTACAGCCAGGTCATGCGTTTCATTTTGAGCTTCTATGCAGATAGAGCAAAGGACAGATGTACAGTGACGTGGTTAACAGAGCCTACATTAAAAGCACACCAGGAGTAAGAACTTGGTTTTTCCTAGTCCTGGCACCCACAGAAGTTTTAGCCATGAATCATCCATGTGCTATTGCATACGAGACTATCAGCCTCAGCAACACCCATGTAGTAATCATAACAGCCAGCTCAATGTCATGCTATCCATATATTTTTCACTATAAGCCAATGAAGAGACACCACAGCATGATTCAAGACAGGCAAATATATAAGTTCTCAGACAATGCAGGCCTAGCAAATAGCTCTTAAACTTGCTCCAAAGATAAACTTTGGAGCGAAAGGATTAGACAATCTTCAGGAAGTCTTCTATTACTAATATTTCATATGTATGAGTTTGTTATATTTGAACACCAGAGTCTCAAACCTAGGAAGACACTGATGTTCTAAGATTCAGTATTGTTCACAATGGGCACATTAGAAGCTTTGCCAGTCATCTGGGCAGAAGATGAGGTGGGAGTCCTCTACTAAAAATTCCAAAACCAAACTCCACTGGGTCACTTACTGGCCCCATATGGTAAATGTATCTGGGTCCCTTCATTCAGATTCTTAAAACATAGCTGCTATGGACATAACGCTGTAAAATTTTGTAAAAAATTTACTTATTGAGGTTTTAATTTCCTATTGAGTGATCTCCATGGAATGTTGAAAGGGATATAGTGAAGAGCTGTCTAAGAGGCTGGATCTAATATGTCTTGCGAAGAGAAAGGTAAATTCTATCTACAAGGATAAGGCAGAAAGTAGAAAACATCAAAGGAAAAATATTTTTACGTGCTCTGGGCTATGAGACATAGTGTGGTAAAATTATTCTGAGTCATGTAATAAAATAGGCCAAAATTTTGCTCATCTCCTCAAAGTAACCTTAGTTTTTGAGATTCTGATTCATTTGATTTCTTGACTGCTGCTTCCATGGGCATTGATCAAGGATCAAAGTAAAATGAACTCCTTGATGAATTCAATCTCTTCTCCATTTATCATGAGGTTTATTGGTCCAGTTGTGAAGACAGGGTTGTTAAGTTCCATTGGCTTGGTTCCTACTCAAAGCAAACCTCTATAGGATTTGTGAGGAGCAGCTGGTGAGTTTGAACTGCTGAACCTACTTTAACAAACTACTAGGTTGAGTCATGACAGTCTTTTCTTAACTAAAAATGGGAGGCTATTGGCAATTCCCCATGGTTTGCTCTACTATTTTTAAGGCCAAATCTAGACCTAGGGATGAGCTGGAACAGCTTCACATCCAAAATCTTAACATTTAGCCTTCTACTTCTGGCCACAACTTCCTAACTGTCTGAATTACTCACTTCTTATCCCACAGAATTGGCTTTGTAGTTTCATGATCTCCATTTTTTTTTTTTTTTTAATCCAGTCCATTGCATATCTCCTCTACACAGTCTCTAGAAGCTTCATTGTATCACCTCAGTTTTCTCTTACCAGCTTCTTCAACTGCCTCATTTACATCTCTTAATCACATCTACCCTGGGAATTCCTAACTTTGCATCAGTTTACACTCTCTGTGCACTTGAGGCATTAATGTAACCATTCATCAAATTTTAAGTACTCACATTGTATTCCAAATGTTGTGTTAGATGCTAAGGATACAATGGGTTAAAAAAAAAAAAAAAAAAAAACTAGTCTGTTCCCCAGGCTAATGAGGAATTTACATCCAGCAGACTTATAAGTAAGCAAACAAGCAATTAATAATGCACTGAATCTAGACATTTTTTAGGGCCTAAAATAAAAGTGATGCTTACACTTTGTGGTGTCTGACTATAAGTATAAAGTAAAGAGAGAAAACCAAGAAAAAGAAGAGAAATAAAACTATCCCCAGAAAAACAATTTCCCCTGAATATTATTACATCTTGACATTGATCAGAATGAAAGTACATCCAAGGAAGAGGGAAACAATATAAGATGGTTGCTATTTAAATCATACTTTAAGCAACTATCTGCCACAAGACTTTAATGAATTCAACAAGTCCCCAATAGCTTTACAGAGTTTCAGACTTGAAAAAGAAATGACAAATGCTTTCCAAAGAACTCAGAAGATATAACTAACAGGACAAAATGTGTTTGCTAGGGTGATTCATTAAAGAAAAGAAAGAGAAGAAAACCCAACAAAATAGTGTTCAAAGGCTTACAGTATATTTTTACATAAAGAGTCAAATATTACAATCCAGTTAACAACTCCACAATGAGGGTAAGGAATTCATTGGATTAAAAAGCCAATGCTGTTGAGTTGATTCTGGCTCATGGTGACCATTGTTTGTCAGGGTGGCACTGTGCATGCTGTTTCCAGTGACTGATTTTTTGGAAGTAGATTCCCAAACTTTTCTTCCAAGGTACCTCTAGGTAGACTCAAACATTCTCATTTAGCAGCCAGTCATTAACTATTTACACCAT